CATTAGATGGGAATTGGGTAACTCAATATAAAAGATTTTAAGTGGACTTTAAACCCATCCCTACAGCCACCTTGTGCACAATATCTCTTGCTAAGCCTTTTGTTAGATGATCAGCTAAATTAAATTGAGTTCTTACAAACTCCACAGATATCACACCAGTCATGATGAGCTCACGAATCATGTTATGTCTAACACCTAAATGTCTAGATTTCCCATTGTACACTTAACTATAAGCCTTAGACAAGGTAGTAGCACTATCACATCTGATAGAAATGGTAGATATCGGTTTAGGCCATAATGGAATTTCATAAATCAAATTCCTTAGCCATTCATCCTCTTTACCAGCAGCAAATAATGCAACAAACTCAGACTCCATGGTTGAGTTAGTAATACAAGTCTATTTCTTAGATGCCCAAGAAATGGCACCTCCTCCAAGAAGAAACACCCAACCACTTGTAGACGAGTCATCCTCTAAGTTGTTAATCCAGTTGGCATCTGAATAACCTTCCAAAACATAAGGATATCCACTATAAGTTAAACCATAATTAATGGTCCCTTTCAAGTACTTCAATACTCTACTCACAGCTTGCCAATGATGTGAACTAGGATTACTAGTATATCTACTAAGCCTTCCCATAGCATATGCTATATCAGGCCTAGTACTAATCATGGCATACATTAGATAACCAATAGCCCTTGAGTATTCAAGTTGAGGCACTAGATATCCTTTATTAGGTAGAAGCTTAAGACTAGGATCTATAGGAGTGCTAACAGGAGAACAATTCTCAAAGTTAAACTTTTACAAGATCTTCTCAATATAATGAGATTGAGAAATTAAAATCCCATTGTTTCCTTTTCTAATTCTTATACCAAGAATTACCTCAACCTCCCCCATGTCTTTCATATCAGAACTAGATGATAAGAATTTCTTGGTTTTATCAAATTCTTCTAAATCAGTACCAAAAATCAACATATCATCTACATATAAGCAAATCATGACTCCTTTACCAGAAGTATCAAATTTGCTATATACACACTTGTCAGCTTGGTTTAATGGAAATCCATTAGACAAGACAAAATCATCAAGCTTTTGATGCCATTGTTTTGGTGCTTGTTTCAAACCATATAATGGTTTCTTCAACATGCACACTTTGTGTTCATTTCCAGGCATCACAAACCCTTCAGGTTGTTTCATGTATATTTCCTCATCCAAGTCACCATTAAAAAAGGCAGTTTTCACATCCATTTGGTGAATCACAAGATTATGTATAGTTGCAAGAGCTAATAATAATCTAATAGTATAAATTCTGGCAATAGGAGTATAAGTATCAAAGAAATCAATGCCTTCCTTTTGTATAAAGCCTTGGATAACCAATCTGGCTTTATACTTATCAATTGTGCCATCCACCTTCATTTTTCTTTTGAGGATCCGTTTACATCCTAATGCCTTGCAATCAGGAGGTAAATCAGCTAATACCCAAGTATTGTTATGCATGATAGAATCAATCTCATCATGAATTGCCTCTTTCCAGAAATGAACTTCCCTAGAAGCCATAGCTTCACCGAAAGTCTTTGGATCCTCTTTAATATTAAAACAATAATGATGTTGAGAAATAGTCTCATTCCTTGTTCCTTCAACTAAATATAGTTGAAAATCAGATCTGAAAGACTTGGCTTTTCTAGCTCTGGTGCTTTTCCTAGGTTCAGGTATAGAACTTACACCACCAGAAACATCTTCAGCTTGAGTAGTACTCTTGCTGGAAGATTGATGAATCATGTCCCTTGGTCTTGGTATAGATGTAAATCTTTCTTCATCAAAAATAGCATCTCTTGACTCTATCACTGTGTTTACAGACACAAAATCATTAGATTCTAAAACATAGAATCTATATGCTTTGGAATGCTCAACATATCTTATAAAGATACAATCTATACCTCTCTCACCTAATGTTTTCCTTTTGGGTTCAATGAGCCTTACAACTGCTCTACAACCCCAAACTTTGAGATAACTCAAATTTGGTAACTTTTTATACCAAAGTTCATAAGGAGTATTCTTACTCCTTTTATTTGGAGTTCTATTCAAGATGTAACATGCAGTTAACATTGCCTCACCCTAAAACCCTTCACTTAAACCTGTTATGACAACATGGAATTAACCATTTCTTTCAAAATCCTATTCTTCCTTTCAGCTACACCATTTTCTTATGGTGTATATGGAGTTGTGGTTTGATGTATTATTCTAGTTGATTCAAAATAAACTGGATCATAGTACTCACCACCTCTATCAGTACACAATACTTTTATTAATTCATTTTTATGAAGCTTAACTTGTTGTTTATAAATTTTAAATTTATCAAGTGCTTCATCCTTAGAATGTAGCAAATAGATATAACAATATCTAGATACATCATCAATAAAAGTAATAACATACTTCTTGTTTCCAAGGGAAGGTGTTGCATGGAAATAACATAAATCACTATGTATAAGATCCAACACCTTGCTTTCCCTAACAACATCTTTAAAAGGTTGTCTAGTGATTTTAGTTAGCACGCATGTTTTGCATTTTTCATTATTTTGCATATCAAAAGCAGGTATTAAACTCATTTTAGACATGTCTTTTAATCTCTTGTAATGAATGTGTCCTAGTCTAGCATACCATAATTCAGATTTATGAAAATTATTGCTAGTACTACTAGAAGCCATGCAAACAGAATTATCACTAGAAGGATAATTAATATTAAACCTAATCATTCCATTACATATATAGCCGAATCCCATAAAAGAACCATTTCTTGACAAGATATACTTGTCACTTTCTAATACTTGTTTGTAACCACAATTATTTAATACAATTTCAAACACGGGATTCTTACGAATCCCTCGAACATATAAAACATTGTTCAAACACAACCATTTGCTAGAAGTAAAAGTAAGTAAAACAGATCCTATGCCCTTGAATGGTTCAGTTGCAACATTTCCTATGTTCACAACAGATCCATCATCAACTAGTTGAAAGTCCTTGAACCAATAATGATATTTGCAAACATGACTTGTTGCTCCCGAATCAACCTACCATGCAAAATTATCATCCTGAATATAAAATGCTTCAGAAATCACAAAAATATAATTCTGAATATAGTTAGACTTCTGCATGAAAACATAATTATGACCTTGTTGCTTTTCTGGATCCTTAGATCCACTTGGTCCTGCACCATCCTTGTTCACTTTACGAAAACGACGATCTTTCTTGAAGTGACCCGGTTTGTTACAATTCCAACACACCACTTTAGCCTTCTTGTTGGAAGACTTGCCATCCTTTCCTTTAAACTTCCTTTTTCCATTAGACTTCTTTTGATTCTTTGATCCTTCACCATCCACCATGTTCACAAAAGAGGAACCAACTTGGTTCTTGCCTTTTGGATTGTTATCAAGTTCTTGACTCCTTAAGGACTCTTCAAGCCATAAATGGCTTCCAAGTTGAGTTAAAGTCAATTCCTCTTTGTTATGTTTCAGATTGTGTTTAAGATCCTTATAGGAAGTGGCAGTTTGTCAATGATCACAGCCACAACAATGGCTTCATCCATTTTCAGATTGTGTTGAGTAAACTATCCCATGATCCTTAACATTTCATGGTATTGTTCCATAACAGGCCTGGAGTCAATCATCTTGTAACCAATAAAGTTACTGACAAGAAACTTCTTGCTAGAAGCATCTTCAGCCATATACTTGGATTCAAGAGGATCCCATAGTTCTTTTGCAGATTCGAAATTTTGATAGATATCAAAAAGAGAGTCAGATATACCATTGAGAATATGACCACGACATATGTAATTATCATTTCCCCACTTTGATCTTCTTCTTCTTGCCTCCATAGGTTCATCTTCAATAGATTCTGGTAAGATTGGCATGGGTGTACTCAGAACATACACCACTTTGAGAATGGTAAGGAGAAACTTCATCTTCCTCTGCCGTCTACGAAAATCTTGCCTTTCAAACTTGTTCAGTTTTTCAAACTTACTTGTCATTTCCTTCATAGAATCACCACTTGCGATTATCACAGTTTACTTTGATTTTTGTTAGAAATATTGTTTAGTGGCACTTGGAAATCTGAGAATCGTGATAATCACTTTCAAATCAAAGTATTTGAGTGGTACTCCCAAATCCTCAATTGGATAAGACTCAGATAAAATCAGAGAGAAAAGAAAGAGAGAATGAGATGGTGTAATTTCGTGAGTACCATAAAAGTGGCTAAAATTGGTTATAAACCTTCATTATTTGAAAAACTGTCAAAACTGTCATATAACAGTTTTTCTCAACAGTAAAAACTGTTATAAATCTGGGTTTTGTATAAGGATTAATGCAAAGTCAAACTGGGTCAAATATTCAAAATTTGGATTTTCTGATGCATTTTTAATACAGCAATATCGACCCCAGCCAAGGGCTCTGCCCCCGGACCCTCGTTCATTCAGGGGCTTCGCCCCTAAATGATAGTATAGTTTAATACTTGATCAAACTTAAACAAGTGTGTACTCCACACCTTCCTTACTTGTTTAATATTTATCAAGACCATTTTTAGTCAAAAAAGTAATCCTATTACACTTAAATAACATTGATGATAACAAATCATCAACGGTGCATTGACTGGAATGGTTGGATTACTCTCAATTTGCTTCACAATGTTTGTTGCAATGAATTTGTAGTTGCAAGCTTTAATGGTTCTTGATTGCACACACTGATGTTCACTAACTAGGGTTATCACCACCCAGTCATCTGTCTCTTTAGGTCTAGACACTAGTACAACCCAAGGACATTTACCCTCTTTCATATTTACTGTTTTGTCCTTGACTTTGTCCATGGCCCACCACTAATATCTAGGACCACTCATCTACACTTATCCCTAATCCTTGTTTTTTCATTTTTGTCAAAATGTAAATCCCTTTTGGTTTCTACTGCATGTTTGTTTATATATATTCTTTCACATGTTTCTTTGTTTTGAACTTCTATCCTAATGTAAAATCCTTTTGATGAACTACACCCTCAGAACAACTTTTTTCCTTTCTTATGTCTCTCAACATCATCTCTCTGTTGTTGTCTTCATCTACAATAGGTGACTCAAACGATTCTGGTTCTATGTTCTCCAAATCTTCACCTTCAGTAAAGTCAACACCACTACCACTTGCTTCTTTGGTGGTTTTTTGAACCCACTCAACATCTTCAGCAACATATATATGAAATTCTTTCATATCAACATCCACATCATCTACAATATTTTCTAAATCCACAAAGAAGTATTCGTCCTCACTCTCATCACCTGTCATATTACCCTCACTCCAAGGACCCTCACTAACACTTTCCTTACTTCCACTGTATTCATCCTCAAAAAACTCAACATCATGTAGATTTTTTCCCCACCATATTCTGCATCCACATCCCCCATTACCTCATAATCATCCACTGGATCAACATCCCCTTTTGGTTGGTGCTCATCCCCTGTATCAACATCTTTTTTTACCATGGTTATCCTCAAACTGTACCCCCCTAAAGGGATCACTCTCTCAATCAACTGAGTGTTTTTTGTTGATCATAGGTTCATATGGTACAATTAACTTTGACAAATCAGTGGACTTATTCAAATCTAACTTTTTACTACATGACCCAACTGATTTCCTTTTCATTCTAACCCCATTCATTTCAGGAGAATGATTCCCTTTAACTTCCTCAGTACGAACCTTCAATAGGGACTTAAAGTAAGGGACTACTCTATTATTTCCATGCTCGATGTACAAATTAATTTCCTTATGATTAAGCACATACCTTGCCAGCTGAATGACTTCCTGATCGGTGCCAAGGGGTAACAATCCACTATTCAAGTCTGTCTCTGGGATCATGAAATGGTAAATAATTATACCTCTATAATTGTACCCTAAAAATGCCATCATATCATCTAACTCGTGGACCGGAAACACATCCATTTCCACAAAATCAAAGTGATCCACAAGCCCATCTATGTATGACCTTCCAGATACTGTATTTGTGAACGAACCCCCCATGATTTATCTTAAATGTGAAAAAGCTTGAAATAGATCCTGATGTGAACATTCAAGAATAATAAAATGTTAATGATGGAGGAAAGAAAAATTACATTTCGTCAAAACCTTGCATTACAAGGTCCGTGCTTACCATATTCTTTACGTAGGTCAGGTGGTTGGGTGTAGCGTGGACGTAAAGACCACAATGGGAGCACCATTTTCCTCGATACACCATTCAATCAGTTGAACTGTTTTGTCGGACGACGATAAGAACTCACGATTAAAGAAGATGGGAAGATCAAAAGGTTTTTTTGGGGAGAGAGATAGAGTGTAAATTCAATGTCTGAAACTAAACCCCACCACCTTAATGGATATAGGTATTAATTTATATGTTCAGTAAAGGTCCTTTAGGCTAAGATGACATAAATACCCTCATGTGCAAGTCAAATGGAGCAGCTTAACGTTGGACTGGACGGATATCCAACTCGGGGACCAAATGCGTGAAACTTATGGTCCGTAGGTACTATTTGAGGGAAAAAAAATACCGTAGGGACTATATTAGGTTAAAATCCAAAACCTAAAGGACCATTTGCGTAATTTTATCATATTTGTTATATGAAGTCAAGGAGATGTTCAAGCATCTACTAGGAGAAGTATATAAATAATCAAACTTTGATAACCTTGTTTCTTATTTATATTCACTAAATAAAAACTAAAATACAAATATGGTGTTGTATCTCACAACCTTGATGTAACACATGCTCTATATTAACTTTCTCTCTATCCTCTTACTTACAACCCTTCCACCCCTAAACACAAGGAATTGAACATTCCCATCTAACATCGTTGGGTACAAATATGGATACATATGGTACAAGTTCAGTGTAGAGAAAAGATAGAAGGAGCATCATCCTGCTTAACACGTGATGGATGCCATTTTATACATTCTTTAGGATAGTTTTTATTAGCATTTAGCATCATATTTTACATATTTGCATGTTATTATCTTAAACAATGGTCAACGCGTATCTTTTTTTGAAATTCTCATACCACTAGAGTTTTTGTGTCAATTTCAGATAATCCGAATGGAGCGGTACTTTGGGAGCAGTTGGATGCATCTTTAGAGGCTAATGTCGGATTAGTGTCTAAGCCCGTAACAATATTTGGTATATACTTGACCTGGTTGTGCATGGTCCTTTTGGGTTGCCTTCACCAAAGCAACTTGACAAGGTAATTTATAGAGATAGAGGATATTATGATTTATTAATATATTAAAAGATTAATATAATAAAAAGATAAATCATATTATTTAACTAATATTAGTCAGAAATTAATTAGGAATTAATTTGGTGGCTAAAAGAGATTAAATAAATAAAGGGGTATAACCTATCAAATGTGTGATAGTTGGATTTTGGGTTGGGAAACCTAATGGATCAAAGGGGGAACAAAATTATGATGATATTCCATCATAATTTCGTCCATAGGCCCTATTCCATAAAGTTCCATGGGCTGCTTGGTGATTAAGCTGTCCATTAGAGTTTTGACTGAAACCCTAGCAGCCAACATTATAAATAAGGCCCCTAGCCTTCAAAATTCGGAACTTGCTTTGAAGAGAACCCTAGGGCCGAAATTTAGATCCTCCTCCCTCTCTCATAACTGCCTTCTTGCTTCTTGGTGTTTGTAAGCCAGTAGAGGAGTTACACTTGTGACTCTAAGCTCAACAAGGAAGAAAGCTATCAAGCATTCTTAAAGAGGTAATCATCTAGATCTTATATTTTATGTCAATTTTGATTTATGTATGCTAGATCTAGGGGTTCAAATCTTGGATGAATTACATGTACAATAAGGAAATCTATATCCAAGTATTAGGGTTTGCATGAGGACATAGGAAAGTTCTTGTGTATAAAACCCATCAGTAGTATCAGAGCCTTGATTGGTTTCTGTTGTATGTGATGCAATGATCGTTTGTTAACTGAGAAATTGTTTTTTCTACCTCTGTCCGAATCGACTCAACGAGTCCCTAGTTGGACTCAACGAGTCGGCCCAACTCAGCAAGTCCATTTAGTGACTCGACGAGTCCGGTCTTCAGACAGAGGAAAACTCGGGATTTTATGTTTTTTGCTGAAGGATAATTGCCACAATCGTTTTTGAATGATAAAATCCAAATTTTAATATAATTATGAAATTATCCTTACCAAGACAAAAGATAATTACCAATTAGTTAAATAATAAATTCCTTATATGATCAAATTTTATTATTTGTATTAATTGATCAATTATCTTGCATGAAATTGGATTAGGTCAAATATAGATAATCACTAAATTGATTGTTTAATTTAAATTATTTGTTATTTGATCATTTACGTTCAGAAAAATTCAATACTTGCCCTCAAGTCTTGAAATTTAAATTTTGATTAAAAGTTTAATTTTTGATAATTAAAATTTCAAACCTTTAGAATTTTACAAGTTTAAAATTCAACCTTATACTTTATTTATTATAAGATTAATATATATATATATATATATATATATATATATATATATATATATATATATATATGTATATGTATATGTATAAAACAAGCAAGTATTATCGCTAGTAGGCCTCATTCACAAAGTCAATCTATAAGGGGGTATAAGGTTGCTGCCTATAAAATAGCGCTTAATGGGTGTCCACTCTCACCCACCGTATCCTTGATTGGTGGAGGGTCTTTAGCCGAATGGATAGGATGGGGCATTTAATTCCTCATTATAAGTATAATGAATATTACAAAGTAACTACAATGTTTTACAAATTCTCAATCTTAGTTACTTTAGGGTAAAACGTTAAAATGATTCTATTCCATGGAATTTCACTTTGTACCCTTGTCAAACATTAGTGGAGCGCGTGAGGCTAACCGGCACACTAATTCAGGGTTGACATTGGTTGCGAATGGTGGCTCAATGTTTATCGTAGATCAATGGAGCGTGCGTGGCTAACCGACACATTGATTAGGTGACAATGACATTGAGTGCACCATGTTGATTCGTATGGTTATTCACACCTTGTTTGTGATCCTCAGTATCCCAGTCAGAAACTTGAAGGGCATATCGAGATTGAAACATGCCATTGAAAAGTTAAATGAATCTAAAAGATCTAGGAGTTTTTCAAAACATTTAAAACATAATCTTCTTTTGTTTTCATGGTGGAAAATTAGTGAATCGTCATTCACTTACCTTCAAATTATTTTCTTTTAGATTACGGCATCCCTTTTCTAAGTTGTAAATAATGTTGTTGGATCCTAGCCCTAATTTCTCATTTGGGTGATTAATTGGGGATTCATTATAATCAAACTTATCCTTTTCTATTTCAGATTTCTAACGCAAACAACAACAACGCTCCTGCAGCTACTGGTGGATTCTCACTCATGAATATGTGTAGGAGAGTGATCTTTAATGGCAACAACTTCAATGAGTGGATCCGTACATTCAGATGATCACTCTCTACGAGGACAAGGAGTATGTCATCGACGAGAAGCTTGAAAAGATCAATCCAAAAACTGCCACTGTTGAAGAAATCGCTGCCTATGAGGCACATGAACGTGATGCTACGAAGGTCCATTTCATCATGCTCGTCACTATGAATGCAGAACTCCAAAAGTCCTACGAGGACATGTATCCATTCAATATGCATCAATATTAATGGATAGGTACCACCAAGGCGCGAAGCAAGAGCGCTATGAGATCATCACTAACATGATCACCGGTAGGATGGGGAGTGGAGAATCCCTAACCTCGCATATGCATAAGATGCATAGGTATATTGATTGTCTTCTAAAGTAAATGTTAACTTTGATGAGGATTTGGATATAAAAAACATCCTCCACTCCTTACCTCCATGCTACAACCAGTTCAGAATGACCTACCACATGAATAAAGAAGAGGTCACTTTGAGCAAGCTTCAAGGGTTGTTGAGGACTGATGAGAGCAACCTAAAGGATAAATCTGTTGCATCAACTCCTACTGATTCGGCCCCTGTGTTGGAAATTGGGCAAGGAAAGGGTAAGAAGAGGAAGGCTCCTTCTAAGAGCCACCAAAAGGGAAAGTCCCATGATGGTTCCTCTTCTAGTGGGACCAAATTCGGTTCCATCAAACCATCTTCTGACCCTAAGGATGCAGAGTGATTTTACTTCCATGAGAAGGGCCACTAGAAACGATGTTTCCCTAAATATCTGCAAGACATTAAGGATGGGAAGATAAAGCCCACCTTTGCAGGTATGTATTCAATTAAATCTAATAACTCATCACTTTCTACTTGATGGGTTCTTGATACTGGATGTGGTTTCCACATTTATTTGGATTTGCAGGGCCTAAGAGAAAGTAGGGAAGTGGAGCATGGGAGGATAAACTTAGTCATGGGAAACAAAAGATCGTCACCTGTCACCAAGATCGGAGTTTATTCCTTAGTGTTGAGTAATGGGTTAGGGTTAGATTTAAATAATTGTTGCTATTCGCTAGATATGGAAAGAAACATCATTTCTTTTCATGGATTATATAGAAAAGGGTTTAGATATTCATTTGATAATAGTAATGGTTCTATTAATGTTTATCTCAATGGTGTTTTCTATTTTAATGCACTAACTTGTAATGGAATATATGAATCTTTGTTGGTTGTAGACAACTTAGGATATGATGTGTTGAATATTGATTCGTCCAATAATTTGGACAAAGCATGCTTGTGAGATTGTCGCCTTGGCCATGTCAACAAGAAACGCTTTGCCCAACTCCAAAAGGATGGAGTGTTGGAGTCATTCGACCTTAGGGACGATGATACGTGTGAGTCTTGATTACTTGGGAAGATGACCAAGTCACCCTTTATTGGCATTTGTGAAATGGGTGAGGGTCTATTGGATCTCATACATACAGATGTATGTGGGCCCTTTAGATCCACCACGAGGGATGTTTGCCACCTCTACTTGACTTTTATCGATGATTATAGCAAATATGGATATATCTACTTAATCAAGCACAAGTCAAAAACC